ACTAGTGACTGGCTCTGTCTGCTAACTTAATGGCTGTGATCCTAGCTGCAGGAGGTCTTCTCCTTCCCTAGTTAATAACCATTCCTGTGCTCTCAAACATCAAAGGAATATATTGACTACCAGGATAATGAATTTTGCATACTCAGACTGCGCCAGAAAGCAAGCTAAAGAGCAAAAGTATTGAAGTTGGTCAGGTTGGCTGTTCAGACAGACATGCTTGTGTTGGCCAGTTGAATTTTGACAAGATTTTGCCAAGTTTAATGGTGGTCGACAAGACCCACCTTAGCCTGAATAAGGTATGCCCCAAAAGGCAGAGGGTTACAGCCGGCAAGGGATTATAACAGGGAGTGGCGACATGGGGAGGGAACCACCATGGGCCAATGGGGAATAACTGGGGAGTGGTGAAGGGAATGACAATCAAGGGAGGAATCCAATAAGGTGAGAGGGAAGGAGGGGTCCCCAGGGATCAGCCTATCACCTGAGGCTCTGGCTGGAAGGTTCTGGATAGAAGCAAGAGGCCTCAGGGCGACAGACAGGCCCCAGGGTGGGGTCAGGGGAATGACTCAGTGGAAAGTTATACAACTGGGGTGGGGAAAGGGAAGACTGACAGGCGAAAGGGGGAGGAGGAGAAGGAGGGACGGACCATGTAACATAAAGAGGGGGAGAGGGAGAAACCATAATCACACCCCAACAAAGATTGTTTGAGAGAAGTTATATTTGCTTATAATGGATTGACCTAGTCCCTAAATTCAGAAATAGGAGACATGAACATGGAATTTCACATTAGGCAGAATGGGGAGTAAGAGAAGAACCTCATTTTTTTTCTGCACTTAGAAAAGAGTCCCCAGGGTACTGACAAAACTAAAGAGAACACCAGCACCCAAGCTGAAGATCTGCCATACAGAGGTGCACAGTCACCAACAAAACATGGACAAGTTCACTGCTGTTTTAAGTGGACACAGCCCTTTATATCTCATGGAATTTCTTTTATTTTAACCATCAAAGTAAACACTATTTCTTCTCAGTGTCACAGCAGAAATACCCAGCTTACAAAACTGCCATTGCCCCGAGGACCCTTTGTATGTTCAAATTATTTTTCAAAGAGTAATCAAAGTAAACAAATAAGGGTGTCTTCACAAAAATGGAGAGGATGGCTCAGCTGTATGCACTGGTGGACTCTGCCTCTTCAAATGGGAGTGCCGAGCCAAATCCTTTGGTCTCACCCCTTGACTAACCTCTTCTGGTTGACAGCCCTGCTGCTGGACCTGAGCCCTGGGCTCCTTGGAACTCCTGGACTATACCAAGATCAATTAGAAGCACTTCCCTTCCTCACTACAGTATTCTCTACTTCTATGGGAGAATTTCCTCCACAGCTAGCAGTAAAAACTCATGTGAGTTGGAGACTCCATCATCAGACTAATTTGGTCATTATGGCTGCAGGTTCTGAATTTTAGGCATATTCTGAATATTACAGAAATCTTTGTAGATGACTCTTAAATTAGGACATCCTTAGTGAAGCTGCACAACAACCTGAATAAGCACTGCATGGACAGCTACTAGCAACAAGGAAGTGTTTATATCACTTCCACTGCCAGGGGAAACTTACTGTGGAATGATATCACAGGACCCTCCAAGGTGAGGAAATAAAGGAATAATCCTGATCATGAAAGTATATTTTTTTCACATCACTCCTCATGAAGAAGGCGTTAGTTAGGGTCATGGCAGATGGAGAACTTTATATAGTTAATATCCAAGCTGGGAATATAGCAAGACGGAGAAGCACTTCAGCTTCAGAACAGTTCTTTACTATGAAAAATCATCCAGGATACTAAATACTTAAAAGACAGCTTAGCAAAGCAAGTGTCCCCATCCCATGCATCTTGATTTATCCATAAGTTTAATAAAAAGGCCTTACTAAAATGGTACCAACCTTACTAGGTTCATCAGCAAAACACTGAGTGGCTAAGATAGCAATTGAAAAGCACTGAAGCAATCTATTTCAGAGCACAATTAGGCAGCTGCCTGGCACACAGATACAAATTAGTATTTGTGTAACCTGAAATACTGCATCATATATTTGGACTGTGGATATATCCTTCAAGAAACTGATTGGAATCAGTTGTGTGTTAGTCCTTCAAAAAAAGCAACAGCTTCATGAAATCATTTTTTGTGGAAACAACACTGACTGATGTTAAAAAACTTCATTGCAATTCAAGCAAAGACCTAAGTTCCACAATGCCAGAACTTGTTGAAAAATATCCATTTTTATTCCTCTTACCAGCTACCTTCACAGAGCAGTAACTATGATAATATCAACTCCCAAAGCAGGGAAATAGTGTAATTTTTTTAAAGTTTCCTTTGTTTATCAGTCTGTAATTAGAATTTTCCAAAGGAAAGTGAACTATAGCAAACAGCCCTAATTGCTAAAGGAGGCGATTTATTTTAAAAGGACCATTATGAAGGTTTCTTTATAAACATCAAAGAAAAAATACATCTCACCGGATGAGATGTATTAAGTGATATGTTCTTGCCCTCACACAAAAGCATATATTAAGCATTTGCATTTATCTACAACCTCTGCAATGTGTAAGCAAATTTGGAACCTGACCAGCATTTTGTTGTTTCCTGCTGTTTTCTGGTTCCAAGGTCCCATTTTGTGGTTCATGCATATGAAAACATGTGGATCTCAGAACTGCTCTGGAAAACAAACCCCATATTTCTATGCAAAGTCACAGACTGGTTTGTTAGAGGTCAAGGTTACTGGATTTTTCTATTGTTTACCCCTCCATCACATACACACACACTAAATGAACCTTCCCCTCTATGCAAAGTGAAAAATCTCTGCTGTACAACATTGACTGTCACAGCCAGGTTCACTGGAGCCCTTCTACATGACTGTCACTGCCTTGTGCTTCCTGACAGGGTGGCCTCCTGCAGCCACACTTGACCAGCCTGGACAGACACTGGACTTACACAGCCACTCCACTTCTGCTGCTTCCCAACTGCCTCAGTTTGACAGTATTTCCATGGGTAGGCAGGATTCCATATGGAGAAGCCTGCGGTGGCTTGTTTCCTCTCTTGCCACCCTATCAGGATTATTTTAGTTGTACTTCCCAACATAAAATAGCTACTCAGCCATCTGTGGAGGAAATCCTCTGCTGCACCCTGATTCAAAAGCAGGCACAAAACTGTAACCAAGCCCTCCACTATTTGATGGGCTGGCATCAGCAGATCAAAAGAGTAAGGAACACATTGCTAAAAATCACGGCCAGAGGAAACTTTCAAAGTACCTATCAAATCAGTTTTGGAAGTAAAATCATTCCCAGTCAATTGAGTGTAAATACCACAATACCCATAAATACCTATTTTAATAAAATACCTATTTAATAAAATAAGGCTTCCAGACTTTAGAGGGGATTCAACTCTGGAAGAAAATGCTGATCACTAGTGTTCAGGCTCCCAGGAGGCTCCCTATTGTGACTATCAGAAAACTGCATATCTAGTTAAATTACAGCATAATAATGGAGAGAATTCCACAAGTCTGACAGCATTGTTTATCATCAAAGAAAACCAGAAGAGATTTGAATAAAAATAAATTGTACAAGGGAAAAATTAAAAAGAAGAAATCACTGTATGCCTGTACTGGTACTTTGTTACAGAGTATCTAGCTCATTACTGCATGTTACATTTTCATAATGTGGTGTAATTGCGAAAGATGTTCACCCTTTCCCACGGCATATTGCTCATTCTCACCCATGCAGTACCAGTCACTGTCCTTTTAAAAAATGTCTTCTGGGGGTGTGAAAAAAGCAGTCAGGCAGCTAGTGGCAGTATGGTCAGAAGCATCATAAATCAGCTTTGCTGCTTAAAACTGTAATACAGAATTACACCACTACTCTTTACAGAAAATATGACTTAGAAGCCTTGGCCTGAAACAGATCCTTTCTTCACTTAATCATTACACAGCACTAATGGCATAAGCATGGCACTGTGCCCTTAAACAGGGCACAGATGATTCAGAGAAATCAGTGTCCATGTGTTAGAGAGAAGGAAATAATTACAATTTTTGGGCTAATTGTAGGATAAGCTCGTGATGCTACAAAGTGAGGCTGAGGTAATAAGCCATGAAAAAAAAGCACAAAGATGCAGACAGCAGATAAAACACATGAGAAATAGAGAGTCAGAATGCTGGATCTCTTGGAAATGTGAGCCAGAAAATACTCAGGGACACAGCAGTAGCTGAATGTGCCAAAACAATCCATTCTTCTCTCAGGGCCATCTTTGAGCACACAGTCTATAAAACCAGAGATATCAAGCCCTAGATGTTGTGAAACTAGCTTAGTCATGCCAGATGAACAGTCTTCTGGTTGGCACCTTCAAAAACAATGGTTTTATAACTTTCATGTTTAATTACCTAGAAGGTTTCTGGACTGCCCTAGAGAAGCATTGTCCTTCTTGAATTAATTTTTCTTCCCCTTTGAAAAAAAAATCTGCTGAAACTTACAGGCAAAAAACTATTAAGACTGTGAGAAAACAGATAAATGTTTTCTGGCATGCTTGCAAATATGAGATGTGAAGGAGTTGCCTGCTCTGTCTGGCTCTGTGTTCAGTTTTGACCCTGTCATTCCATTAAAATAGGAGTCACTTGAGAGAGACTAGAAGCATGGGGAGAGTGAAGGAGGCAATCAGCAAGCTAGAAAGCATGACTTTTAGAGACAGATTAAAAATTGTGGCTGAGGGTTTGTACTTAAAAAGAAAGGACAAAAAAGTAAGTGAGGTAATAAAGATCATTAAAACTTTGGGAAACTTCTGCCTAGGAAAGAGGGTGATTTGTTGAACACCATCATACAAAAAATTAAATCAGGCAAGCTATACTGCTGCAGTGGAGGGGGACACTACCTGTACCATTTCGGGAATTTGTGGAAACTCCCATGTGGGGAATGGTTAAGGACATGTTAGGTTACTCTATGTCAGGACATAGTTACCAGTGATCTACTCACCATGGCTGAGACCCTTCTGCATCAATTATTCTGGCATTTGCCTCTTTATTATGAAGGAATTATTTACTGAGCTAATAATGGAAAAGATGATCTCCTATGTGTTGCCTAAAAAAAAGTTAAAAAAAAATCAAAGATACTCTTGCTGATACACTTGTCAGTAGAGAGCCTTTCTGAAGCTGAATAGTTGCATTGCTTAGTAGGAGATCCAGATATTCAGATACCCAAGAAACTGCTTTAGATGGCTACAGCTTCATGTTTGAAACTGCCTTGGTTTGAAAAACAGGTGTCTGCTAAGGAAGGCAGGAGCTTCCCTTGGAATGGAAAATGCAACCAACCCCCTTCTCTGCAAATGGTTATAATATTGCAATGCAGAGGCTGTCAGGCAAAGACCCGCGGTAGGAACAGCAGTTCATCACCAGTGTGTGCACTGAGGGAGCGAACCCGGCTCCGGCACTGACCCCGAGCAGGGCCCGGGCCGGGCCTGGCCTCCCTCTGCTGCAGCGCTGGGCGTGGCCGGCAGGGGCGCTGCTCTCCCAGCAGGCAGGGCCGCGCGGTGCTGCCCCGTGGCCACAGGGGGCGCTGCGGGCGGGCTCGGGCAGCGCGCGGCAATGGCGGCTCAGTCCACGCGGGCGGGGACGGAGGAGAGGCTGCGCCTCACAAACCCTGGGGCAGCCAGTCCGGTGCAGGGCAGCGCCCTCGGGATCACCAAGAGTCTCGACAGGCAGGAGGTGCAGTAAAAGCTTGGAACAGTGCTGAAGAAGAAGCGGGAGCAGGGCAGTGGAAGCCCAGCTCCCAGCAGGGCAGGGAGAGGCGAGCTCAGGATCCTGGTGTTATAAATGAAAATTTGTCCAGCCAAACTAAAATGAAAAAAATAAAATATTGATTTTGCAATCAAATTCTATCTAGCCAGCCACAAGGAAAGAACAGAGCCGAGCCCGCGGTCGGCCCTGGGTGTGCAAAAAAGAGGTCAGCCTCAGCAGAGGTTTTCCGCTATGCCCACACACCTCCATCCTGGCACAAGCAGTTTTTATAGGAAAAATTCCGCCTGAGGCCAAGATTTCGGCAGTCAAGCTTTTCTTTCATTCAGAGTCCATAGGGTAATGAGATTTTCTTTTTTTGGTGATTGAAATGAACAGGGTCTATGCCTTTATTAATGTTCAGCTCTTTAGTAAAAAGTCAGCTCGGCAGGGGGCTCAACAAGGAGCTCGCCCCCGCTGTTGTAGCTTCTCTGGTAGCCAAAGGGTGAGAAGGCGTGCAGAATCTGTCCCTGGAGTCTCCGTGGCACACTGGTAGCTGGAGGTGTGCAGTCTGTATTTGAAGTCCTGGCAGACCATCCTCTCTCCTTTCCTCCTGGCACACTGGTAGCCGCAGGGTGAGGGGATGTGCAGAGCCTGCTGCCGAAGACCAGCAGCAGCTGTCCCTCTCCTTCCCTCCTGGTAACACCAGGAAATGTGTGTCTCCTTTGCTCCTGCTTCCCACAGCCCAGTCTAGTCTGGTCCTCTGCAGGTTATGGTGACAGGTCAAACACACACTAGGGATGGGGTTCCCTTTTTCCCAACGAGCACACCCATCCAGCCCCCTCCACTGTGCCCATCTTTTCCATTTAGGGGTGTTTGTCATCCCCAAAACCCCCTCTCATGATTCCACTGGATTATTTTGCATCCCAGTCCTAGAATGGTAGTGAGAGTGGGGGGAGGTAGGTGATTCCCAGGAGCAATTAGCTAATTAACATTTCAATGTCAGTAGTTAGTTCGAGCCAAGTGTCCCAGCCAGGCTGTTTTGTTCATAACAAATCCCTCCTCTCTTTCTTTGATTGGGCTTAAGCCCGCATCAATCTACAGTCTCTGGCTTTTGAGGATTATCTTCTTGGGGTAATTCTTTTTATTTTGTATATCAGCTTTTAGCAAGCCTTCTTTAAAGTTATTTTTAAGTCTTTTGGTTCCTTAATTACTGTCTATGCACAAGAGGAGGTGGGTTGGGTGACCCTCTAAAGGGCACTTATTCTTATTAAACAGTTACAAAGTACTTAAACTTTGACAAGGGTACTTTAACTCAGAAGCGGTTATTACCACCTTACCGTATATCAGCTTCTAGCAATACTGTTTATGCACAAGAGGAGGTGGGTGACCCTGTTGGGTCTGGTCTGGCGTCTGGGGATGGTCCTGGTCCTTTTACTCTGGGGATATGGATCCAGCCTTTTTCTTGGGTTCACATCGCAGTGTGTGTGGTGAGTAACATCTGGAAAGGTCCTTCGAATTTGGGGGTTAGTGGAGTGGTGGTGTTCTAGGATTTTATTAACACTTAATCCCCGGGAGTGATGTTGTGGGCATTGGTATCCAGAGGGAAGGTTTAGGGGAGATACCCCTTCTTTCTGAGGCCTTCTAGGGATTTTCTTATGATTTTAAATATTTTTAAGTTGCCACCTCCCCTTTTAAATAATCTGCAGTACTGAAAGGGGTGGTTAGAAAAGGAAGTCTAAACATCATTTTATAACGAGAAACCCCTATGTCAGACCGAGGTCTTGTTCTGATGCGCAAGAGAGTAAGAGGTAAAGACTTGAGCCAATTCATTTTTGTCTCTTCAATTAATTCGGTTATTACATTTATAAGAGTTCTATTAATCTTCTCTACCCTTCCCGAGCTTTGAGGATGCCATGGGGTGTGCAATCTCTACCTTATCCCCAGGCTTTTGTTACTTGATGCAAAGCTTGAGCAACAAAATGTGGGCCTTGGTCGAGTCAATGTTATTGACTAGCCCGTATTGAGGTATGATATATTTTTTTAAGATTATTCTTGGAACTTCTTGCGCAGTTTCCTTTTTGGCTGAGAAAGCCTCCACCCAGTGAGTGAGATGATCTACGATCATTGGTAAATGCTTGTACCTCTGCACAGAGGGCATTTCAGTGAAATCTACTTGTATGTTCTGGAAAGGTCTTAAAGCGAGTTTTTCCCCCTCATGTGCTGTTTCTCTCATTACTCTTTGGTCAGTTTTCAGGCAAATCACACACCCTCTTGTGACTGCTTTTGCCAGGTCATACAATCCAATACATAAATTCTCCCGTAAAAAGTGGTCGCACAAACCTTGGATTCCCCAGTGGGTCAATTCATGACTTGAACTACTATCTTTTTATCTCGTGGGATGATCCTTACCCTTAATTGGACTTGCAAGTCTCTTCCTAAGAGATTACTTCTTAAATTTGGCAGATAGATAAGTCTGCCAAAAATTGTCTAGAATTCCCTTTGATTTTTATATTTTTGGCTATAGATGTTTTAAATGGCCTTCCCTTCACCCCTAAAACCTCACAGACCTTCTTCCCAATGTTGACTCTTACTGGTAACTTGTCCTGGACTTATCCGCCCCTGTGTTAACTAAGAACTCAAAATCTTCATAGTGGGGACTTACTTTAAAGTTTACCAAGGGCTCTTGTTGATGGTTGATTGTATCTCTTTGCTTATTGAACCCTCAACATGCCTAGTCATCTCCCCTTGAAATCTCTTATAAGATTTTTTGTTATTTATGCATTGCTTCATTAAACTGAAACATAAGACACATCTCACTACAGTAATAGCACCTCCTGTTGCTTTGTGAAGCTTCAGGTTTCTTAAAGTCATTAAAGTTCTTATTTGTTTCGTATGATGGTGCTGGTTGGTCTCTATTTCTTTGGTAATAGCCCTGGTCTATTCCAGCTTGACTTAGACGGCAGTGCTGGTGACCTGCCTGCTCTTATACTTCCTCGAGCAACTGCAACCATAAGTCTAGCTTTAGTTTTGGATTTTTCTTCTTCTTTCTTTAAATATAATCTTAGGGCTTCTAGGTGTTGGTTTAGCTGATTATATATCTACTGATCTTGGGTTCTATACTATGGCCACTCTCCCTGTAATTTTAACTTTGGCCATACTTCTGTACTCTTGTCTAGACCCTTTGTGGTTTCCCAAGAATCCCATTGGTCTAACAATTGCCCTAAGAGCCTGTTAGGAGGAATTCTCTTTGCTTTCTCTTTTGAAGGATCCACTCCTTTGCTATAACCTATTCCCATTTCCAGGCCTCAAAAGGAAAGAAAAAAATCTACCTTAAATGGTGCCCCCCTCTAAAATGGAATATACAGATATGCAATTACAGTTTATCTGGCTCCTTCCCACAACTTAGTATTTTAAATCTCTTGACTGAACTTAATCTCTTCCCACTCTTGGCATTTATTTCTGTCTCTTGCCCAGGATAACCACTAATCATATTCACATATATTGTCTTTTGTTTTCCTGTTCTTTCTGGACTTCTTGATGGACTTTCTAGGTTTGGACCCCGGGTAGGTCTCGCCCCTGTTCTTACTTGGCCTTTTGCCTAACCTCCTTACTAAGCTTAGGAAGCTTGGTCTCCCTGCCGAGGTAAGGTCGAACGTCCTGCCGAGCCTTACACTCGAACTCCGGCCAAGTCCCCTCGCCTGACTCCTACTAGGCTTAGGAAGCTTGGTCTCCCCGCCGAGTTAAGGTCAAACGTCCTGCCGAGCCTTACACTCGAACTCCGGCCAAGTCCCTCGCCTATGTCTCCTACTAGGCTTAGCCTGCTTGCCTTTTTACTCGCTTCTTTACTTGCATACTTACTCTGTCATCCCTGACATGCCTCCTGCCTGCCAGGACCTGCCCCCTGCCTGCCAGGACATTCCCCCTTCTTGCTAGGACCTATGCCCTATCTGCCAGGACTTGCCCCCTGTCTGCCAGGACACGCCCCCTTCTTGCCAGGACCTGTCCCTTGCCTGTTAGTAAATGCCCTACTTGTTAGGACCTGGCCCTGCCTGCCAGGACATGATCCTGCCTGTCAGGACCTGCCCCCTGCCTGCCAGGACATGCCCTCTTCTTGCCAGGACCTATGCCCTATCTGCCAGGACATGCCCCTGCCTGCCAGGACATTCCCCCTTCCTTCCAGGACACGCACCCTTCTTGCCAAGACCTTGCCAAGACCTGTCCCCTGCCTGTTAGGACATGATCTACCTGCCAGGACATGCCCCCTGCCTGCCAGGACATGTCCCCTTCCTGTTAGGACATGCCACTTGCCTACCAGAACATGTCCCCTTCCTGCCAGGACCTGCCTTCTGCCTGTTAGGACATGCCCCCTGCCTGCCAGGACATGCCCCCTTCTTGCCAGGACCTGTCTCTTGCCTGTTAGTACATGCCCTACCTGCCAGGACATGCCCCCTGTTAGCCAGGACACTCCCCCTTCTTGCCAGGACCTGTCCCCTTCCTGCCAGGACATGCCCCCTGCCTGTTAGGGCATGCCCTCTGCCTACTAGGGCCTTTACCCCCTGCCTGCCAGGACATAACCCTGCCTGCCAGGACATGACCCTGCCTCCCAGGACATGCCCTCTACCTGCTCTGCAAGGACATCCTGCCCTGCCTTCTAGGGACATCTCACATGCCCATTTATCCTGTCTTGCCTGCCACGGACATGCCCTCTGCCTGGTGGAACTTGCTGCTCCTGCCTGCCAGAACCTGGCCCCTGCCTACCAGGACATGTACTCTGCCTCCCAGGACATCCTTCCCCACCTGCCAGGGACGTCGCACCTGCCCTGCTGTGGACAACTCCCTTGGCCTGATTGCCAGGGACTTACTTTATGCCTAGAGAATCTCCACATGCCCAGAGGAGGGCCTTTACCTCTAAGGAGAGGCCTCAGTCACTGTGTCCCACTCACTTCCCCCTGTTCCCGGCCGGCCCCTTCGCAGGAGTCCGGAAATGCGGTACTAGTGGGTCCCTTTCACTTCGGGGGTCCGAGCTGCCAGCCCCCATCTCA